TCATTATTTTAAGATTGAGATTAATATTTCTGTTTATGGTCAAATGAGTGAGTGAGTGTAAGTGTGAACCACCAGGTGGTATTCGTGTAGTTAGTTGATGGGGTTTATCAGGGAGATAAGATGTTTTCTAATGGTAGTTTTGAAGGTGATGAATGTGTCTGCAGTTCTAGAGTTCTCAGGTAGGGTATTCCAGATTTTAGGGCCTTTGACATACATTGAATTTTTGTAAAGGTTTAGTCGGACACGGGGAATGTCGTAGAGATGTTTGTGTCTGGTGTTATGCCTGTGGGTTCTGTCACAACTATCAAGAAAGCGCTTTAGGTCAAGGTTGATATTAGAGTTTAAGGCCCTGTAGATGTAGATTGCACAGTAGTAAGTGTGGATGTACTGAACTGGGAGTAAGTTTAGGTCTATGAAGAGTGGGGGGTGTGTTGCCAGGGAATGGATTTAGTGATTATTCTTACTGCAGCTTTTTGTTGGGTTATTATTGGCTTTAGGTGTGTTGCTGCAGCTGATCCCCAAGCACAAATAGCATAGGTGAGGTATGGATAAATAAGTGAGTGGTATAGTGTGAGAAGGGCATTTTGCTGCACGTAGTATCGTATCTTGGAGAGGATCCCAACCGTTTTGGATACTTTTTTGGTTATATGCTGGATATGGGTGCTGAAATATGGTAATAGATGTGAGTGACTATAAACTACAAAAATATGGTGATAGATGTGAGTGGCACTATAAACCTCGACAATAATAAGACGGCCACAGTGGGAGACATTCCACCTTCATCTAACACAAGAATGTCTGGGGTTCTGCTTGCCATTATGCTGCTGATCGTATCACTGACCATCCCCGATCCTCAACCATCCCTCGTGGGGGGAGAGAGGGAGTGGGGAGGTGGCGGGGTAGTCATGAGAGAGAGGAGGAGGAAGTCTAGTGTATCTATCCAGTAAAGTTGAGATATCCTGAGGTCTTCCAGGGAGGCTAAACATGTATGATGAGGTGTGTGAAGGTCGTGAACTCAACCTAGTGCAGCACAACACTGAATTCCTTCCTCAGGAAGAGGCGACGCAGCCTTCGTAGCCTGTGTGTGAGAGAGAGAGAGTGAGAGTTGGAGAATATATGTTTGTGTAAGTATATGTTTTGTGTGTTTGTTTTACATGATGAAGAGTGAATGTTTTATGCGCGAATATACGTTTTTTTTTTTTTTTGAGTGCGTGTTCTGCGTATCTGTGAGTAGCAGCAGCAGACGAGTACACCCGAGGGTTCCAACACATAAAACAAGAGCCACACGCCTCTCACCAACCAGCCTGGGGTTCCAATACGTGCAACACCAGCCACACGCCTCTCACCAACCAGCCTGGGTTTCCAATACGTGCAACACCAGCCACACGCCTCACCCACCAGCCTGGGGTTCCAACACGTGCAACACCAGCCACACGCCTCACCCACCAGCCTGGGGTTCCAACACGTGCAACACCAGCCACAGGCCTCTCACCCACCAGCCTGGGCTTCCAACACGTGCAACACCAGCCACACGCCTCTCATCCACCAGCCTGGGGTTTCAATACGTGCAACACCAGCCACACGCCTCACCCACCAGCCTGGGGTTCCAACATGTGCAACACCAGCCACACGCCTCACCCACCAGCCTGGGCTTCCAACACGTGCAACACCAGCCACACGCCTCTCACCCACCAGCCTTGGGTTCCAACACGTGCAACACCAGCCACACGCCTCTCACCAACCAGCCTTGGGTTCCAACACGTGCAACACCAGCCACACGCCTCTCACCAACCAGCCTGGTGTTCCAACACGTGCAACACCAGCCACACGCCTCTCACCCACCAGCCTTGGGTTCCAACACGTGCAACACCAACCACACGCCTCTCATCAACCAGCCTGGGGTTCCAACACATGAAACACCAGCCACACGCCTCTCACCCACCAGCTGGGGTTCCAACACGTGCAACACCAGCCACACGCCTCTCACCAACCAGCCTGGGGTTCCAACACATGAAACACCAGCCACACGCCTCTCACCAACCAGCCTGGGTTCCAACACGTGCAACACCAGCCACACGTCTCTCACCAGCCAGCCTGGGGTTCCAACACGTGCAACACCAGCCACACGCCTCACCCACCAGCCTGGGGTTTCAACATGTGCAACACCAGCCACACGCCTCTCACCAACCAGCCTGGGGTTCCAACACGTGCAACACCAGCCACACGCCTCTAACCAACCAGCCTGGGTTCCAACACGTGCAACACCAGCCTGGGGTTCTAACACGTGCAACACCAACCACACGCCTCTCACCAACCAGCCTGGGTTCCAACACGTGCAACACCAGCCTGAGGTTCCAACACGTGCAACACCAGCCACACGCCTCACCCACCAGCCTGGGGTTTCAACATGTGCAACACCAGCCACACGCCTCTCACCAACCAGCCTGGGGCTCCAACACGTGCAACACCAGCCACACGCCTCTCACCAACCAGCCTGGGTTCCAACACATTAAACACCAGCTACACGCCTCTCACCCAGCAGCCTTGGGTTCCAACACGTGCAACACCAGCCTGGGGTTCTAACACGTGCAACACCAGCCACACGCCTCTCACCAACATATATATCTATCGTTATGACACAACACACAGACTGGGTTGATACAGCACCGCTCAGTCAACACTGCCTGCGTCTTTGTGTTCCCCCGGTGTTTGAATAAGGCGTGAGGGGTAACACCAGCCATGTTATTGTACCGTGGTAGCGGGCAGTGACGGCGAAGACAGGCAAGAAGTCACTTTTGGCCTTCATAAACAGTGACTCTTCATCAGAGTGCATCAACGTACTTTCCTCCCCTTTTTTCAACTTATTTTTTTGTTAGTGGATTAAGACAAATGCAGCGCAACGCGATCCACATACAGTGGGATTTAATTTTCGTATACCTGGTATACCTGGTATACTACGGTAGGGTGAAAATTCAGTACAAATGAGACACTTGTGCAACACTTGGGTATCTTTACTTTGGAAACGTTTCGCCCGCCAGTCTTTTTGTCAATCCAAAACAGAGATAACGGCAGATGTAAAGTGGGGGAAGTTTGAGATAAGAAAATTTATTTAGGTACGGGCACACATAAGAATAATTATCATACCTGCCTGGAGTACACCTGGAGAGGGTTTCGGGGTCAACGCCCCCGCGGCCAGGTCAGAGACCAGGCCTCGTGGTGGATCAGGATCTAATCAATCAGGCTGTTACTGCTGGCCGCACGCAAACTGACGTACGAACCACAGCCCATAGTAATTTACATAGTAACATGTATGTAAATTACCTAGGATAACCCCAAAAAAGTCGAAGTGACTTATTTTCAATGGGGCCCTTGTAATATCTTAATATCTAAAGCCTAGCTGTAAATTACAGCAGAAATCAGTCATGGTAACCTTAAAAATTAAAACATCTAAATAACTCAACTGTGTGGAGGTCAGTGGGTGAGACAGATCATCAATATAAATACTACTTTGAGTTGTCAATATAATAATATAAATCAATAATATGTGATTTGGCTATACACATAAACACAGCCATGTTAACAACCTCCACTCCTAGTGTACTCACATGTTTGTGGTTGCAGGGGTCGAGTAGCAGCTCCTGGCTCCGCCTCTCCGCTGGCCGCTACTTAGTTGTCTTTCCTGGCTGCGTGCAACTCTATCATACATCTTAAAACTGCGTATGGATTCTGCTTCTACCACACCATTATCTAGGTCGTTCCACTTCCTAAACAGTCTTAGATAAAGAAACATTTCCTGACATCTTTGTGATTCATCTGCGTTTTAATCTCTAAATGTGCCCTCGTGTACCTGAGACCCGCCTCTCAAACTCCCTGTCCACCCTGTCAATTTCTCTCAGTATTTTGCACGTCGTAATCAAGTTACCTCTGTCCTTGTCCTCTAATATTGTTAGGTGTACTTCGTCTAGTCTTTCCTCGTTACTCATACCCTCAGTTCTGGGACTAGTTTCGTTGCAACTCTACATTTTTTCCACTTTTACATGCTTTATCAGATGTGAGTTTCATACTGGTCCTGGACACTCGAAGATGAGCCTGACATATGCCGTGTATAACGTTGTATATGCCTCTTTGTTGACGTTCCTGAAAGTTACCCTTAAATTTGCCAGTGTCGCACTTGCTGTTGTAGTTATTCAGTTGAAAGGCTTAGAATATGCTTACCCCGAGGTCATTCTCTTCCAGGGAGGTTTGCAGCCTTTGTATCACGAGTATGTACTCTGCTTCCAGTCGTCTTTACTCTTCCCACCCACCATCACCAATAATAATTTCAATGCTAGAAGATGGGAGAAGTAAGTTTCGAAATCTCGTCAGCGTGTGTGATGAGAGGAAAGCCACGGGTCATTTCTCCCTCCCCCGTCACTGTAGCTAAGTTCACTGTAGTCAGGCTCACTGTACACAAAAATTATGCACATAAGTTCACTGTAACCAGGATAGTTACAATCTGGGTATTATTTTTTCCTGTGTGTTCCCTACTAAGCCATAACACTCATATTTGACTCTTAACTCGTAGAAAAATATGAGATCTGTATTATCACACGACTTACCTGGTCTTATGCTTAGAGCTATATATACTTGACAACTTAAATATAATACTGTAATGGATAAAATAATGTATAACATGAGAGAGGTAAGATGCTGCTGTGTGATCTTGAGAGTTGTGCGCATCCTTCCTGCGCTGCCTTGCTGCCGCCCGGCCCACCACAACACTGCCACACACACGAACATCACTCTCACTCTCCATAAACTAATTATTCTGTTTTCTGTTTCACTATTACTACAGATATCTAAATTCAGATTTTATTAATACATATTGTTATCAATGATATAAATAATTTTACGGTTGGCTGGTAGGAAAGGGTTGTTTATTTACATTGGCACCTGTACGATCTATTGTCAGCATCAGATATACAAAATATTTCTGGGAGATGTTAGAAGTTCAGTATTACCTGTGGTAGTGGGAATATGCTGCTCGCTGCTCCGCAACTCTTGAATACAATTCCTTCTGTCACGTTCATTAGAGTCTCTAGAAAAAATATTAACACGCTATACCTTTCACCAATGAAGAGAACTTCACGCAAAAACTGCCATCTTAGAAAATTATAAGAAATTATTAAAATAATGAACATTTGAGTGTTGAGGGTTGACTCCTGACACGAGTATCCTCTTGTCAACATCTGAAATCAAACTTAATCAAATTGCCAGTTTATTAAATGGAAACAACAAGCACACAGGCTCTTGAAACAGCAAGGCACGCTGAGTTATAAGCGTGTGATGGAGATGCCGGTGTTTAAATAAGTTGGTAGAGTGTTAGTGTATGGTGAGGTGGTGCCCTAGAGGCGGTCCAGCCATCACCACCATACTTAACATTACTCCTGCTCTTCACTCTTATATAATCCTCAAGGGTAAGTGTCACAAGAGTTCATCTGTTAAAAAAAAACTTAATCCTTCAGAGTGGGGTACCTGGATGCTGGTGAGGGGGCTCTTGATCCAAGAATATTTAGATAACGTGCTTGTGATCAACGTTGATAACCTGGTGTTCCCAAGGCGCTCTGTGACCTTTATGTTTATATTTTCTAACATGAGTATCATAGTAATAAGTAATGACTTTTCTCTCTTAATGAGACTGTCGTACGTACCTGTGAACACCTGTGAAATAAGCCTAAGTAAATCATACTGTTTACCTAGATTTGGTTATCGTAGGTTAATGTATCATAACTACATGTATACAACATCTCTGGATATATAACCTTGTTAAAGCTGCCATACTGATGAAAGTCTTGGTTGACGTGTCAACAGTTGTCACCATTTTTGTGTCCAAGTAATCTTACGTTACCATCCACAGGATGGGTATGGAGTGCACAGTAAACTAGCCTCTACCCTCTACGGGATGGGTATGGAGTACACAGTAAACTAGCCTCTACAGTCCACAGGATGGGTATGGAGTACAGTAAACTAGCCTCTACCGTCCACAGGATGGGTATGGAGTGCACAGTAAACTAGCCTCTACCGTCCACAGGATGGGTATGGAGTGCACAGTAAACTAGCCTCTACCGTCCACAGGATGGGTATGGAGTGCACAGTAAACTAGCCTCTACCGTCCACAGGATGGGTATGGAGTGCACAGTAAACTAGCCTCTGCCGTCCACAGGATGGGTATGGTGTGCACAGTAAACTAGCCTCTACCGTCCACAGGATGGGTATGGAGTACACAGTAAATTAGCCTCTTCCCTCCTCAGGATGGGTATGGAGCACACAGTAAACTAGCCTCTACCGTCCACAGGATGGGTATGGAGTACATAGTAAACTAGCCTCTACCGTCCACAGGATGGGTATGGAGTACACAGTAAACTAGCCTCTACCGTCCACAGGATGGGTATGGAGTACACAGTAAACTAGCCTCTACCCTCCACAGGATGGGTATGGAGTGCACAGTAAACTAGCCTCTACCCTCCACAGGATGGGTATGGAGTGCACAGTAAACTAGCCTCTATCGTCCACAGGATGGGTATGGAGTACACAGTAAACTAGCCTCTACCCTCCACAGGATGGGTATGGAGTACACAGTAAACTAGCCTCTACCGTCCACAGGATGGGTATGGAGTGCACAGTAAACTAGCCTCTACCGTCCACAGGATGGGTATGGAGTACACAGTAAACTAGCCTCTACCCTCCACAGGATGGGTATGGAGTGCACAGTAAACTAGCCTCTACCGTCCACAGGTGGTATGGAGTACACAGTAAACTAGCCTCTATACCGTCCACAGGATGGGTATGGAGTACACAGTAAACTACCTCTAACGTCCACAGATGGGTATGGATACACAGTAAACTAGCCTCTACCGTCCACAGGATGGGTATGGAGTACACAGTAAACTAGCCTCTACCGTCCACAGGATGGGTATGGAGTACACAGTAAACTAGCCTCTACCGTCCACAGGATGGGTATGGAGTACACAGTAAACTAGCCTCTACCGTCCACAGGATGGGTATGGAGTACACAGTAAACTAGCCTCTACCGTCCACAGGATGGGTATGGAGTGCACAGTAAATTAGCCTCTACCGTCCACAGGATGGGTATGGAGTGCACAGTAAACTAGCCTCTACCCTCCACAGGATGGGTATGGAGTGCACAGTAAACTAGCCTCTATCGTCCACAGGATGGGTATGGAGTACACAGTAAACTAGCCTCTACCGTCCACAGGATGGGTATGGAGTACACAGTAAACTAGCCTCTACCCTCCACAGGATGGGTATGGAGTGCACAGTAAACTAGCCTCTACCCTCCACAGGATGGGTATGGAGTACACAGTAAACTAGCCTCTACCGTCCACAGGATGGGTATGGAGTGCACAGTAAACTAGCCTCTACCCTCCACAGGATGGGTATATAACTAGCCTCTTCGATGGCAAAATCTAAGTCTTTTGTGTAAAATGCAATAATGTAAATTCCTTACATTACATAAATTTAAACTTATGGTAAATTATAAAGAAATTAACTCATAATCAAGTTAATCAGACAATGCGGAGTCAGCAACATACGTATATATATATATATATATATATATATATATATATATATATATATATAATATATATATATATATATATATATAATATATATACATACCCATACACATACTTACATACACACACACACACACACACACACACACACACACACCTGGTGGTCCCAAGGTGATAATTGCAGTGATGTATAACCCACCACAGAACAGCAGGAGGCCAAGGCAAGAGTATGACGAGAGCAATAGAGCGATGGTTGACACACTGGCTGCAGTGGCCAGAAGAGCTCATGCATGCAGGGCAAAGCTACTGATCATGGGTGACTTTAACCACAAGGAGAACGACTGGGAGAACTTGGAGCCACATAGGGGCCAAGATACATGGAGGGCTAAGATGATGGAGGTGGTATTGGAAAACTTCATGTACCAACACGTAAGGGACACTACAAGAGAGAGAGGAGAGGATGAACTAGCAAGACTGGACTTAGTATTCACCTTGAGTAGTGCAGATATTGAGGACATCACATATGAAAGACCCCTTGGGGCCAGCGATCATGTGGTTTTGAGCTTCGAATACACAGTAGAGCTACAAGTGGAGGGGGAAGCAGGAAGGCCAGGACAAATGAAACCAAACTACAGGAAAGGGGACTACACAGGAATGAGGAACTTCCTGAATGAGGTTCAGTGGAACAGAGAACTGGCAGGGAAGCCAGTTAATGAGATGATGGAATATGTAGCAACACTGTGCAAGGAGGCTGAGGAGAGGTTTATACCCAAGGGTAACAGGAATAATGAAAAAGCCAGGATGAGCCCATGGTTCACCCAAAGATGCAAGGAGGCAAAAACCAAGTGTGCTAGGGAATGGAAGAAATATAGAAGGCAAAGGACCCAGGAGAATAAGGAGAGCAGTCATAGAGCCAGAAACGGATATGCACAGATAAGAAGGGAGGCCCAGCGTCAATATGAAAACGACATAGTAGCAAAAGCCAAATCTGACCCAAAGCTGTTATACAGCCACATCAGGAAGAAAACAACCATCAAGGACCAGGTAATCAGGCTAAGGAAGGAAGGAGGAGAGACAACAAGAAATGACCGTGAAGTATGTGAGGAACTCAACAAGAGATTCAAAGAAGTGTTCACAGAGGAGACAGAAGGGGCTCCAGAAAGACGGAGAGGTGGGGTACACCACCATGTGCTGAACACAGTACACACAACCGAGGAAGAAGTGAAGAGGCTTCTGAGTGAGCTAGATACCTTAAAGGCAATGGGGCCAGATAACATCTCTCCATGGGTCCTGAGAGAGGGAGCAGAGGCGCTATGTGTACCCCTAACAACAATATTCAATACATCTATCGAAACAGGGAGATTGCCTGAGGCATGGAAGACAGCAAATGTGGTCCCAATCTTTAAAAAAGGAGACAGACATGAAGCACTAAACTACAGACCAGTGTCACTGACATGTATAGCATGCAAAATCATGGAAAAGATTGTCAGGAGAAGAATGGTGGAACATCTAGAAAGGAATGATCTCATCACCAGCAGACAACATGGTTTCAGAGACGGGAAATCCTGTGTCACAAACCTACTGGATTTCTATGACATGGTGACAGCAGTAAGACAAGAGAGAGAGGGGTGGGTGGATTGCATTTTCTTGGACTGCAAGAAGGCGTTTGACACAGTACCACACAAGAGATTAGTGCAAAAACTGGAGGACCAAGCAGGGATAACAGGGAAGGCACTGCAATGGATCAGGGAATACTTGTCAGGAAGACAGCAGCGAGTAATGGTACGTGGCGAGGTGTCAGAGTGGGGCACCTGTGACCAGCGGGGTCCCACAGGGGTCAGTCCTAGGACCAGTGCTGTTTCTGGTATTTGTGAACGACATGACGGAAGGAATAAACTCCGAGGTGTCCCTGTTTGCAGATGACGTGAAGTTGAGAAGAGTTCAGTCGATCGAAGACCAGGCAGAACTACAAAGGGATCTGGATAGGCTGCAGACCTGGTCCAGCAACTAGCTCCTGGAGTTCAATCCCACCAAGTGCAAAGTCATGAAGATTGGGGAAGGGCAAAGAAGACCACAGACGGAGTACAGTCTAGGGGGCCAGAGACTACAAACATCACTCAAGGAAAAAGATCTTGGGGTGAGTATAACACCAGGCACATCTCCTGAAGCGCACATCAACCAAATAACTGCTGCAACATATGGGCGCCTGGCAAACCTCAGAACAGCATTCCGACATCTTAATAAGGAATCATTCAGGACCCTGTACACCGTGTACGTTAGGCCCATATTGGAGTATGCGGCACCAGTTTGGAACCCACACCTAGCCAAGCACGTAAAGAAACTAGAGAAAGTGCAAAGGTTTGCAACAAGACTAGTCCCAGAGCTAAGAGGTATGTCCTACGAGGAGAGGTTAAGGGAAATCAACCTGACGACACTGGAGGACAGGAGAGATAGGGGGACATGATAACGACATACAAAATACTGAGAGGAATTGACAAGGTGGACAAAGACAGGATGTTCCAGAGATTGGACACAGTAACAAGGGGACACAGTTGGAAGTTGAAGACACAGATGAATCACAGGGATGTTAGGAAGTATTTCTTCAGCCACAGAGTAGTCAGTAAGTGGAATAGTTTGGGAAGCGATGTAGTGGAGGCAGGATCCATACATAGTTTTAAGCAGAGGTATGATAAAGCTCACGGCTCAGGGAGAGTGACCTAGTAGCGATCAGTGAAGAGACGGGGCCAGGAGCTCGGACTCGACCCCCGCAACCTCAACTAGGTGAGTACAGAGCGGGAAGTGACCGGGTAGCGGCCAGTTGAAGAGGTGGGGCCAGGAGCTGTGATTCGACCCCCTCAACCACAACTAGGTGAGTACAT